AATGCATTTAACTTATGGGATTATATTGAATATTAACTGTATCACAACTTTTGCTAACAGCACTTTGGTAATATGTCTTTCAGGTGCATTACATGTGTGTATTGGTGCATTGTCATGTGTATATTTGTGTAAAATTAAAAACATAAAGAAAACGAAAATTGATTTGGGTAATATCTAAAAATGAATCAACACACATGAGGTTACCAATGTATTTTTCCCAGTTCAAGAAATGCATATCTTGGGGAAACAAATTTAAGTATTACATCTAGGGAGCTAGGTTAACAGAGATCTGTCTTTGGAATTAAAATCATTTCACTCATTGCCTGAAATTATCGCTAAGCGTAGATTTTAAGGTCTGTAATCCTAGCGAAACGAACTTATACATACGAGCCCACTGTGTATGGGACTGCGTGTCTCTGGGACAGAACTACTGTAAGGCTTAGTGAGTTATTTTTCCAGAAAGTGAGGCGTCTTTGCTAATCGATGTGCGTAGTCTTTGCACCAAAATCTGTTATCAGTTCATAAGGCGAGTTTCATTTCACAAAATTGCGTACGATTATTAGGATAACATGCTACAAAATAAACCCAGAGAAAAGGGAAGGATATTCGTTTTATTGCAACCTTTATCAGAGGTGTAGGTTTTGGGGATTTGTGAGATATTTGGTAAGACACACAAACTCTCTCTCCCTCTGTCACACACACACACACACACACACACACACACACACACACACACACACACACACACACACACACACATATATATATATCGCGCTAGACAAGCTAAACGTTCCACCCCATCTTTACCTACCATATCAATTCCTGCACGTACATCTACTCCTCAAATGCCAATCTCCTCTTCATCTCCCCATAAAAAAAAATCCTGCGCCCCCCCCCCCCCCCCCCCCCCACATAAATCCTTGAGGACAGCCGAAACTACCTAAGCCTGACTCACGGAAATGCTTTTCTCTCTAAACCATCCTCTAGTTCCTTTACCCATTCCGTCTATAATCAAAGCGACTACCGATACCATCCTCCTCCTCACGTTCCCCCTACTCCTCTTCCCCCCACCACCATTTGCATTTTTCTTCGCCGATGGATAACAATAATTTCAATTTACTCCTCACCTTCCCTTCCTATTGACTTTTGAACTCTACTTTCCACACTTCAACTTCCTTTCCTAATGGTTGGAGAATTTAACTTTCGCCATCCTCTTAGGGGGATTCCACTATTATTTCCCGAGATCGCTCCTTGGAACACCTTTATCTTCCTGCATGCAAACCGTCTCATTCACTTTGATATGCGCACCGAATCCTTTTCACGCCTTGATCTTTCCCTTTGCTCACACTCCCTTCGTCTAGACTTCCACTGATCAGAGTGATCATTATAGTGATCATTTTCCTATTCTCCTTTTTCCAATTTCCTATGTCCCACTTCCTATGACAGAGCTTTGTCTCTCTCTCTACTCTTGACCTTCATCCTTCTCGGGACCTTACATATCCATATGTGTTCAATGGTGGAACCTAAAATATACTAAAGCGCTTGGTATAGCTATCGCTACAAGAGAGGCACCTCCAGTCAAATAACAGCCCTCGTATTATTTTAAAACGGCGTCAGTTCATCTTCGTTGTACAATTCGTAAATCCATCACAGACAGCTGGCAAAATTATATATATTTCATAACATCATATACATCAGTCTGCAATCTGGCGGCGGGTCCATAAACTATCAGGTAAACATTCTTTTCATCTGGCCCCACAATAGCCTCACCTCTGAGCATCTCCCACCTCCTTCTCCCTGTCCTCTACAGAATCTTATAATGCACGCTTTTCCTATTCTGAAATCCATGATGCATTACAGTCATGCCGCAATACTCACGAAGGCCCGGATGGTATACACTACCGTATGTTACAACACCTTCCACAGACATCCTTGTACTTCCTTCTTTCAATATTAAATATGAAGCGTGAAGCCCTTGTGCTAGCGTTCCTAAAAGCAAACAAACCTGGTATCCTTCCTTAAGACTACCATTCCTTATCGCTCACTAGCTGACTATGCAAGTTACTGGAAAGGATGGATAATATCTGGCTAATGTAATACCTGAAGCACAGCTGATCCTCTTGCCTATTTCGAAACCCAAAACACATCAGCATTTGTATACCGTAATTCAGTATTAGTATTAGCCATCTTCGATCTTGAAAAAGCATATGATACTACATGCCGTCAACAACTATTTCCCCATGGTATATGCAGAAACATGGGTGTTTTCATAAAATCCTTTCTTTCTGATAGTTTGAAGGTGTCAAACAAGGCAATGTGCTCAGCACCACATTATTTCCCATTGCTGTAAATGGATTACTATCAGTTCTACCACCATCAATGTACGTAGATGATTTAGCAATCTCTGCCTCAGGTCTTTCCTTACCAGCTCTCCATCTGCTCCAGAATGCAATAACATCAACTTTATGTTAAGTCTACCAACTACAGTTTTTTCTTTTCTACCTCTAAAACCTTTTCTATCCTTTTTTTCTTGTTCACGTATAGGCTCCTAACCTCCACTTTTTGATGCTAACATGCAATTCTGCCCCTCAGAGAAGTACTTTGGTGTTTTTTTTATTTTTTTTTACTCCAAACCGACTTGTCGAGATCATATCCCTTCTGTTAAAGAAAAAGCTCTACCACCAGGAATCCGGTTATCACTGTACATATATGATTTAACAATCTTTGCCTCTGGTCCTTCCTTACCATCTTTCCACCAGCTTTTCCAGAATGCAATAACATCAACTATTTCTTAGGCAGCCAGCTACAGCTTTTTTTTTTTACTGTCCTTGAAACCTTTTCCATCCTTTTTTCTCGTTCGTTCTCGTATAGGCTCCCAACCTTCCTTCCTTTTTTATGATGCTCCCATCCAATTCTGCCCCTTAGGCAAGTTCCTTGGTGTCATTTTTGACTCCAAGCTGTCTTGGCGAGATCATATCCTTTCTGTTAACAATGAGCGCGGGTGGCAAGACTACAATGCCATGTTTTCTTTCTTTCTTTCTCTGTTGGATTACTTAGCTATCAAGCAGCTACATGTGGTCAAGGTTATTAAGCCAATGGATCCTGTTCATTATATCAATCTATATACGGTCATAAAGGTTTGTCTCCCTTAGAAAATCGATTACTTTATGTATTATTTTTCATAGTCTGATAAAAGGTTTGATGTTGTAAATAGTATGTTTTTAATTCGAAAGTATTTTTTGAGGTTTATTCTGCTGTTATTGAATTTATGGCAAGTTATTAACATATGGGCTCTTGTAAGGTTGGCGTTGGTCTGGACATTGTGGAGAGAAGTTTTTGTCGATGTAGAGAGTGAGGTGTGTCAGTCTTATAGCATTGATCCTAAGGCGGGCCAACACCACCTCCTCCCTTCTTTCTTTCCTGTGGCCTGTCCACCTGTTATATTGATGGATTGATTTTGTTTTGTATTTGTAGGTTGGTCCACTCACTTTGCCACAGATGTATTTTTGCTTTTATAAGAGACACAAAACACCTGAGATCTGTACGAACTATGCTAAGATCTAGATCACGGGTTGACCCGGCTAACTTGTCAGCCTGCTCATTGCCATGGATACCAAAGTGGCCTGGTACCTATATTAGCTTGATTGATTTGTTGGCATCATGTAGTTTACGAATGATATTACCTAGCAGTTCAGTTTTAGAGGTTTCTAATTATTTAATAGCTTTAAGTGAGCTTAATGAATCAGAAAAAAACTATTCTATCGTGGGTCGTCGATAGTGCAAAATCTATAGCTTTATCAATAGTAAATCTTCGGCAAGAAAGATCGATGTATGATTCGGCAGTCTGAACTTTAATTCACATTCAGTTGACCATACACCCGCACCCACACACTCATCTATCTTGGAGCCGTCGGTATATATATGAAAACAGGGAGATGTTTAATAAGGATCTCTCTGTACCTCTGGCGTAACTCCACCTCCGGCGCCATGGCATTAGCTGATGAAACCCAAGCTTCCATGATGGAAAAATTTGGAGTTTCCCATGGCGCTATATTTGAACGAACCAGGGTATTGATGGTAAAGAAATCTATACCGACTTTCTCGACGAGGTCGTGGTCAGGGCTAATTGGCCGCGTCTCCGTCGGAGGGGAGGTATTCCTGA